GGGAAGAAACCTCTGATAGACCCCTGTACAGCCAGTTTGGTGTAGTGGTTAAGTGCACGGACTCTAATCTGGGAGGACCGGGTTTGATTCCCCACTCCTCCACTTGCACCTGGCTGGGTGACCTTGGGCAAGCCGTAGTTCTGATAAGAGCTGCTCTTGAAGAAAAGCCGTTTTGTCAGAGCTCTCTCAGCCCCCACCTACCTCACAGGGTGTCTGTCATGGGGAGGGGAAGGGGAAGGAGTTTGTAAGCCGCTCTGAGATTCCTTTGGGTAGTGAAGGGCGGGGTATAAATCCAATATCTTCTTCGTCTAAGGAGCATTTTGCTCACCCACTTTCCAACACGTTTGGTGGCTACCAGGGCCGGAGAGAGAAACATAAAACTGGAAGGAGAAACAGAGAGCTGGAAGGTCATCTAGCCTATCCCGCTGCACAGTGCAGGGAATTCGCAGCGACTCCCCGAGTGACCCCCGGTGTATGCCCAGAGGAAGGCAGAAACCCTCCAGGATCCTTGGCCCACTCTGACCTGGGGGGAAATTTCATGGTGCCCACCAAGTGTTTTCAGAAAGTGGGTGGGAGCCAGTGTTCCCTCTAAACTGAGTGAGTGTGAGCCAGCTCACATGTCTTTTAGCCTCCAGCGCATAGATTTTTGTCTCGGCTCGGGAAGGGACGGCTCCAGAGCCAACTCATTTATGCAGCGGCCAAATCGCTCGCTCACAACTTTAATGCCAGGAGCTCACAAAGTAGAATTTTTGCTCACAAGGCTCCTCAGCTTAGAGGGAGTATAAGAGTGCAGACTCTAACCTGGGAGAGCTGGGTTTGATTTCCCACCCCTTTACGCTTAATCCTTGTTAAGTTGCATCTAGTTCATATCCACCCACTTTTCCAGCGTGCCTCAGATCTCATTGAATTCTATATCTTCTGTGTTCGCCGCTCCTCCCAATTTAGTGTCACCTGCAGTTTTCATGAGTCACCCCTCCGCACCGTCATCCAGATCATTTATAAAAATACTGAAAAGTACTGGGCCCAGAACCAGTGTCCCCTCTAAGCTGAGTTAGTGTGAGTTTAGCTCATAGTTTTTTAGCCTCCGGCTCACACATTTTTGTCTCAGCTCAGGAAGGACAGCTCCATAGCAAACCGATTTATGCAGCAGCCGAATCGCTCGCTCACAACTGTAATGCCAGGAGCTCACCAAGTAGAGTTTTTGCTCACAAGACTCCACAGCTTAGAACGAGCCTTGCTGTGGGGCACTGGACTAAACAGTGTGGTGTTGTGGTTAAGAGTGCGGACTCTGATCTGGGAGAACCAGGTTTGATTCCCCACTCTTCCACATGCAGTTGCTGGTGTGGCCTTGGGTCAGTTACAAGTTCTCTCAGAGCTGTTCTGTCACAAGCAGTTCTCGAAAGAGCTCTCTCAGCCCCCCCTACCTCACAGGCAGTGTTTACTCTAAGCTTTTAGTGTGAACTAGCTCATGGTTTTTTAGCCTCCGGCTCTCACATTTTTGTCTTAACGCAGGAAGGATGGCCCCAGAGCAAACTGATTTCTGCAGTAGCCTAATCGCTCGCTCACAACTTAATGCCGGTCGCTCACGAAGAAAATTCTTTTTTGCTCACTGGACTCCACAGCTTAGAGGGAGCATTGTTGGGACCCCATGATATTGGCCTCTTAGTGGCTTTAATAAACTTGTTAATGCCTTAACGTAATAAACAGAACATCTTTTTCTTTTTTCTTTTTTGGCAATATTTATAGAAACTTGGGCTCCAGAGTAGAACGGAGCCAGAGTTGCAACGACACGCTTCGGGAGAGATCGAAAAGCAGACAGAGATCCGCTCCAGTCAGGACAAAGGTAACAAGCGATGTCTTTGAATCTGCCGTAGAAGCCGTCTTGGGCCTCTGTTGCCTGGGAGCCCCCTGCAGGGTGTCTCTGATGTCACTCTGTGTGTGTGTGTGTTCAGCTTTATGTTCAGCTCATGCATCTTAACGGATTGTTTGGACTGCAGCAAACGGCCGCAGAGAGACAGACAGCGGGTGACAGTAATCGGAACCGAAGGATCTTGCACTCCTCGGGGAAGGAGGGGGCTCTGCACCTCCCCGTTTCCTTCGCTTTGTCACGGCGCCCAGTTCCCTCACTTACTGGCCAACCTCCTTCCGGGCCTTCCGGCACTGCAGCAGAAGGTGGAAACGCAGGCATGTTTTCAGAGATGCGCGCTCTCTGGCACACGCCACGGCAGTCCTGCCGCAGATGAGAAACTGATAGAAGTTGGCATCCGCTCACGGGGAATCTTTTGGCTTCCCGCTGCCGGATGGCGTCTGCCCGCGTCAGAGGAAGAGTTGGGACAGCAGGGGGCCAATGTTGGATCAGGCCAATGGCCCATCCAGTCCAACACTCGGTGTCACACAGTGGCCAAAAATACCTGGGGCCATCAGGAGGTCCAGGAGTGGGGCCAGGACACTAGGAGCCCTCCCATTGTTGCCCCCCCCCAAGCACCAAGAATACAGAGCATCCCTTGCCCCAGACTGAGAGTTCCTAGCTATACTTTGGGGCTAATAGCCACCAGTGGACCTCTGCTCCTGACGTTTATTCCACCTGGTCGTTATGGAACCTTTGCGTAAAAGCGGTCTAAGAATTAGTTCCTTGATTTCCTTTGTCGCTTTGGGAAGGGATTCTGCTCCCCACTATACATGGGATGCCGATTTCAGGGAAGGACTCCGTAAAGAGCTTAAGGATCGTGGCAGGTCCTGCCCTCTAGCTGGAGAATATGGTGGTGAAAAGTACTCCCCCCCCCCCCGGGCTGCTTAAGCCCCAGAAAGTGGCTCCTTTTCTGCAGGCAGCTGATCTGGATACTGTGACTTAGGCTACGCTGCCCTTACGTCTGCGGGGCTGCCCTCCACCACGACGGCTCAAGACGTTAGGCTGGTGCAGAATGCAGCACCCTGCCTGTTAACGGTTAGAATCTGGGAGTTTGTCGCTTCCACCTTGAGGTCTCTTCACCGCCTGCTTGCTTCTCAGGCCACTTCCGGCATGGTTTTATTGAAGCCTTTCATAGAATCATAGGATGTTAGAGTTGGAAGGGGCCTTGCAGGTCATCTAGTCCAACCCCCTGCACTCTGCAGGAGCATAGCCGAAAGATCGTGAAGGAGCATCCACCACATCCCGAGGCAGTCTGTTCCACTGCTCAACCACTCTTACAGTTAGGAAGTTTCTCCTGATATTTAGCCGGTATCGACTCCCTTGTAATTTCCACCCATTAGATCTAGAGAGAATAGATCTGCTCCATCTTCTACATGACAGCCCTTCAGATATTGGAAGACTGCAATCGTGTCCCCTCTAAGCCTTCTCTTTCCCAGGCTAAACAGACCCAACTCTTTCAGCCTTTCCTCATAAGACTTGGATTCCAACCCTCTCACCACCCTGGCTGCCCTCTTCTGGACACGCTCGAGCTGGTCAACATCCTTCCTCAAATGTGGTGCCCAAAACTGGACACATAGGACTCCAGGTGAGGTTTGACCATAGCAGAATAGAGCGAAATGACCACCTCCCGGGATCTGGACACAAGGCTTCTGTTAATGCATCCTAAGATTGCATTAGCTTTCTTCGCAGCCACATCGCACTGCAGGCTCATGTTTAGCGTGTGATCAACCAGAACACCCAGGTCCCTTTCACAGGTGCTGCTGTCAAGCCAAGTCCCTCCCATTCTATATCTGTGCCTTTGATTTTTTGTACCTACGTGTAGGACTTTGCACTTCTCACTATTGAAATTCATGTTATTTCCCTCAGCCCACTGTTCCATCCTAGCTAGATCATTTGAGCTGTGTATGCTTCTGACTAACGGCAACTCTGCAAATTGGTGATCTCTAGAACGTCCTGTCCTTAGAATCACAGAATCATAGGATGTTAAGAGTCGGAAAGGACCTTGCAGGTCATCTAGTCTAGCCTCCTGCACTCTGCAGGAGCAGAGCCGAAAGACAGCCTGACAACGTACCCGAAAGATGGTTGTCCAGCCTCCGCTTGAAAACGTCCAGCCAAGGCGCATCCACGACCAATGTTCCCTCTAAGCTTTGGAGTCTTGTGAGCAAAAATTCTACTTTGTGTGCTACTAGCATTAAAGTTGTGAGCGAGCGATTTGGCCGCTGCATACATTAGTCTGCTCTGGAGCCATCCCTTCCTGAGCTGAGACAAAAATGTGTGAGCTGTAGGCTAAAAAACTGTGAGCCAGCTCACACTAATTCAGCTTAGAGGGAACACTGTCCACCACCTCCTGAGGCAGTCCGTCCCACAGCTCAACCAACCACTCTTACAGTTAGGAAATTCCTCCTGATATTTAGCCGGTATCGACTCTCTTGTGACTTCCACCCATTCCCTTAACAGCCCTGCTCAGGCCTGGCAAGCTTAGAATAGATAAAAGGAAGTCCTTCTTCACCCAAACAAAGAGTCATCAGCAGGTGGAATTCCCTGCCGCAGGAGGCAGTGGCAGCTACAGGCATAGACGGCTTCAAGAGGGGATTGGGGCCACATCTGGAGCAGAGGGCCATTAGTGGCAGGCAGAAGGTATAGATTGGAACTCTTGGTCTGGGGCAAGTGAGGCTCTGTGTTCTTGGTGCTGGGGGGGGGGCACAGTGGGAGAGCTTCTGGGGTTCTGACCGCACTGGCGGACCTCCTGGCGGCACCTTTGGCCACCGTGCGACACAGGATGTTGGACTGCATGAGCCACTGGCCTGATCCATCATGGCTTCTCTTATGTTATTTTGTTGTAATTTTTTTGTAGAAAAAGCCCAGCAGGAACTTATTAGCATAATAGGCCACACCCAACAGCAGAAGCTCTTTAGCATATTAGGCCACACCCCCGTGCCTTCCCTTGCCTTGCCTGGACACCACATGGCTGTGGGGAGCCTGGGCAAGCTGGCCCTTGGACAGGCCGGGGAAGGTACAGGGAGACATTTAAATGCCTCCCCGTTCCTTCCAAGTCCCCCCTGGCCTGCCTGCCTTGGAGTCGCCGGGAGGGGGGTGTCGCTCTCCAGGCCTTCCCTCTGTAGCCAGGCACACAGAGGTTTTGGCTGTAGTGGGCGTGGCCAACTCTGAAGTTGGACTGCATGAGCCACTGGCCTGATTCATCATGGCTTCTCTTACGTTATTATGTTGTAATCAATGCCTCCTCTAAGCCGTGGAGTCTCGTGAGCAGAAATTCTACTTTGTGAGCTACTGGCATTCAAGCTGTGAGCGAGCCATTTGGCTGCTGCATACATTAATTTCCTCTGGAGCCCTCCTCCCTGAGCCAAGACAAAAGTGTGTGAGCCGGAGGCTAAAAAACTGTTAGCTAGCTCACACGAAGTCAGCTTAGAGGGGACACTGGTTGTACTAGATGGGTGGGCCGCCACCTCCAGAGCATATCCCCGGACCTCACAAGGCTCCGCAGCTTAGAAGAAGCATTGCGCTCAATACGCATCCAGCGCTGGGGGAGGGGGTAATTGCCTCGAATTGTTTAATGTATTCTGATTCGGCGGTTTTGCATTAGATTCTCCCTTTGAATTTCCCGGGGTAAGAGAGTTTTAATTGCTTTGGGCAGATGCCGTATGCCTGCTACAGAAATAGTTTCAAAGGGCAGCCATAGTTTCATAGAACGGCCAAGTTCCAAGAGTCCAGTTGCACCTCAGAGACCTACAAGATAGAAGAAGAGATTGGATGTATACCCCGCCCTTCACTACCCGAAGGAGTTTCAGCGCGGCTGACGATCTCCTTTCCCTCCCCCTCCCCACAACAGACACCCTGCGAGGTAGGTGGGGCCGAGAGAGCTCTTTCGAGGACTGCTCTTGAGAGATCAGCTCCGAGAGAACTTGTGGCTTGCCCAATGTCACCCCAGCAGCTGCATGTAGAGTCTCAGACCGTCTTCCAATCTCCTTTCCCGTCCCCTCCCCACAACAGACACCCTGCGAGGTAGGTGGGGCTGAGAGAGCTCTTTCGAGGACTGCTCTTGAGAGATCAGCTCCGAGAGAACTTGTGGCTTGCCCAGTGTCACCCCAGCAGCTGCATGTAGAGTCTCAGGCCGTCTTCCAATCTCCTTCCCTTCCCCTCCCCACAACAGACACCCTGCGAGGTAGGTGGGGCTGAGAGAGCTCTTTTGAGGACTGCTCTTGAGAGAACAGCTCCAAGAGAACTTGTGGCCTGCCCAGTGTCACACCAGGCATTCCTCCTGGCCTCGGCCCTTCTTTTCCTCACGGTAGCCGACAGGTCTGAAAGCGGTGGTCCCTTGTCTTTGCAGGTACACCCCCCGGCAAGCGTGTCCACCCCCGTGGCTGGCGTCCTCTCGTCCACCCAGAACAACCGCTGCCTCTCCGCCCCGGACCTGACAGCCGAGAAGCGGGCCGGCCTCGGCGGCGGCGCAGCCCCCCTCCCCGTGGCCCCCCCCAAGCCGGAGCGGTCCATCAGCCCCGAGAGCAACGACAGCATCTCGGAGGAGCTGAACCACTTCAAGCCCATCGTCTGCTCGCCCTGCACGCCCCCGAAGCGGCTCCCCGACGGCCGGGTCCCGAGCCCCCTCATCATCAAGTCCACCCCGCGGAACCTGACCCGGAGCCTCCAGAAGCCCACCACCTACGAGGCGAGTCCCCGGATCCTGCGGAAGTGGGAGCAGCTCTCCCAGGAGCGCCAGATCAAGAGGACCCTCTCCAAAGCCACCCTGACCTCCTCGGCCCCGGACGCGGGGGAGGATCCCCCGCCTCCATCCGCCAAGGCGCCGGGTGCCGTCGAGGAGCCCCCGCGAGCGCCAAACGACTTCCTGGCCCCCGGCCGCCTCACGCGTGCCCATGCCGGGTCAGAGGGCTCCCCTCCCCTCCGTAGAGCAAAGCTCGAGAGCTCCGGCAGCGTCGAGAGAGACTCGGAGGCGGTGGCCGGTGGCCCAGCTGGCGGAGCCGGCGAGTCCCTCTGCCACCCCAAAGCCTCCAATCCGAACTCAGCCTCGCGTCTGGCCGGCTCCGGCCTCGGTGCCAAAACGGGAGCGCGGAAGGTGGCCAGAGTCCACACGGCCCGTCCGGAGAACGGCACGCTCGGGCCCCCCACCCGGGCGGCGGGGAAGAGGCAGCGGCGGCTCCAGTACCTGAACGGGAGCGAGTGGAGCCGCCTGCCCAACGGCGACTGCCGGGGCGAGGAACCTCCCTCCCTGTGGCGGGGGCGCAAGCGGCAGTGCAAGACCAAGCACTTGGAGCAGGGCTTTGCCGCCAAAAGACCGAGGAGGCGGGGGGGCCCGGCGGGGGCCGAGCCCCTCCGGAGGAGCCAGGCGGAGCAGAGGCGGCAGGAGGAGGAAGACCGTCGGCTGGCCCTGCAGCTCCAGTGGGTGTTCGACCGGGAGAACAGGAGGGGGGCCCGGCGGAGAGGCCGGGCGGACCAGTATTTCCTGCGCTCGCAGAGCACCGCGGGCACCCCGTAGGGCCCTCACCCAAACGATGCTGCCTTTTCTAGACGCGTGTGAGGTCTTGGCAGCGGGAGAAACCGCTGTCTGTCCCCCGTCTCCTGCCGCCAAAAGATGTGTTTCTTTTGGGAGGTTAGAGGGGTCGTGCGGAAGCCTGGGTCTCTGCACCGGTCTGACTGTCTCCCCGAAGCTGCTTCTGAGCATAGAAATTGCACTCTGGCAAAAGGCCCTGGGTCCGAAGGCCACCTCGGGGCCCCCCCAATGATGCACAGATGCGTAAACCAGCATCCTGGGTTCCGCCAGGCCCGGTTGATTGACGGGCACGACCCGCCGTTCCTTTGGATCTTCCGTTCTCATTTCAGAGGTCCCGTTGCCACGAGTGACACGTTCCTCAGCCTCAGGAGCAGCTCTCGTCATCCCAGAGGGAGGCCGGCAGGTTGAACTGGGGGCTCTACAGGAATGTATTTCGATATGCAGTGTATCGTGTCTGAATGTGCCGTGCGGACGGCCACTGGACCCCGAACCCAAATGAGTCGTGATTTGTTGTAGATCCGTGGTTGCCCGTCTCTTCTGCGCCGGGGGTAGAACACAGTGGGCCGTGCCAGGCCAGCGATGCGGAAATTCACGGCAGGCCAGTTCGGGCGAGGTAGAATTGGAGGCCAGGAGAAAGCACAGTTTGGTGTGGTGGTTAAGTGTGCGGACTCTAATCTGGGAGAACCAGGTTTGACTCCCCACTCCTCCACTTGCACCTGGCTGGATGACCTTGGGCAAGCCGTAGTTCTGACAAGAGCTGTTCTTGAAAAAGAGCCGTTTCTGTCAGAGCTCTCTCAGCCCCACCTGCCTCATGGGGTGTCTGTTGTGGGGAGGGGAAGGGAAAGGAGATTGTGAGCCGCTCTGAGACACCTTTGGGTAGTGAAGAGCGGGGTATAAATCTTTACCTTTACCCCCAATTCTGAGGCTCAGGGTGGTGCACGGCAATTAAATGACACTATAGATCGTTTAAAAGCATCCAAACGACACAGTAATACAATAATCAGTACGATTTACACATGCCAGTACACACTTCTGTGACAAGTTCATTGTGTTCGCTGTATTTTTGGCTCCGGTAAGGTGGGCCTAGGCTTGAGTGGCTTCTTGCACAGGAACTGGCTCCCCTCCTCCTCTGGTCGGACGGAGGTCTCCGTCAACTTCGTCGGCCCCACAGAAGGCAACGCAAAAGCAAAGAACAGCCGAGGTGATAGAAGCCCCTTAGTACGTCAAGGTAGTTCTATCCAGCGCACTTATCTCCATCGAGAGAACCTGGCCTTCTCCAAAAGAAGGCTACTGTTTGGAACCGACCTAGCACTTCGGAGTTCCCTTTCGGGCACAAGTTTAATATTGTGTTGGGAGTATACGTGCTCTTTTCCCTTTCGTGGGGCGCAGCTGAGACTGCGCACCCGTTTCTCAAGGCCTTGCCCAGCGGGTATCACAGAATGCCCTCCGTTACCGCCCGGAAGGGCTTCGTAGGCTGGCACTTCTGTGTTTCAGCAGTGTATTTACTTAAAAGTAAACCTCATTGGTTTGTGGGGATTACTTCCTAGGAAGTAAACAAATCGTGTCCGTTGAAAGCATTTTGTTGAGGCTCGGAACAGAAGTCACTTGTTTTTTCCCCTTAAGCTTGCAGTGTTACTGCCTATGCATAGTTTATCATTAAGGCAAACTATTGCTAATACCCGAATTTTGGCTCGGCTCAGATGCAGCAACTTTCCATACTGTTCTGCTAGGGGGAAAGAGATGGGGGAGGGGGCTTATGTCGGCGTGCATCTCCCTCCCCTTTTCTGCTCTCTCCGCGCCCAGCCAGCTTAAAGGAGATGGCCACTGGTTGCCCGTTGCACATAGAACTGGCAAAGGGTGAGTGGCCCATTTCCGGATGGCAGGGATGAGCCCCAAGCATAATTTGCTTGTCCGGATGCAGCTGTAAACTTTGGGGTTCCTTCAGACCTAGAAAAGACCGTGCCTCGAGGTTAAGGGTGTGGGTTTGAGAAAGTGTGCACCTATTCCCCCCCCCCTCGCCCTGGTATGCCGTCATAGCCACAGTCTCTGGATTGTGGTTGGTGTCTGAATCAAGCCACTGAAGGGCTTTGTCTGGGGTCACGGAGCTGCCGGGCACAGTTTCGGAAGGCTCTGTCCAGTTCGGGAAGGAGGGGTTGGGGATGATTCTTGGGCCTTTGTACTTTAAGGGGGAAGGTCCTCTGATGCCAAGATCTTGAAGGGCCCTCTAAAAATGGAAGGGATTTCGGCTTGCTTTGGGGCCTCGTTTGGCAAAAGTCTGCGAAGTGGTTTCGTGCAGCTCAAGTGTTAAACGTTTACATAACTTGTGGACAAATTGTTGGCCCAGAGTTTGATGGGAGAAGGATCCTGCCGACAGGATTGGCTTTGGAAAAATACAAGAACAAAAGGAGAGCCCTGCTGGATTAGACCAGGGGTCCATCTAGTCCAGCATCCCGTCTCACACAGGGGCCAGCCAGTTCCTCTGGACAGCCAACAACAGGGCAGAGAGGCCGAGGCCTTCCCCTGAGAAGAACCTCAGAAGAGCCCTGCGGATCAGACCGGTGGTCCATCTAGTCCAGCATCCCGTCTCACACAGTGGCCAAACAGTTCCTCCGGAGGGCCAGCAACGGGGCAGAGAGGCCGAGGCCTTCTCCTGATAAGAATATTAGAAGAGCCCTGCTGGATCAGACCAGTTGTCCATCTAGCCCAGCATCTTGTCTCACACAGGGGCCAACCAGTTCCTCTGGAGGGCCAACAACAGGGCAGAGAGGCCGAGGCCTTCCCCTCATAAGAACCTCAGAAGAGCCCTGTTGGATCAGACCAGGGAGGGGCCCTCTAGTCCAGCCTCCTGCCGCAAACAGTGGCCAAACAGTTCCTCCGGAGGGCCAGCAACAGGGCAGAGAGGCCGAGGCCTTCCCCTTATGTTGCCTCCTGGCTCTGGGATTCAGAGGATTAGTGCCTCTGGATGTGGAAGTTCCCCTCAGTCCCCATGACATAAGGACAGAGGTGGGGGGGGGGGAAACCAGCCTTCTAAACAGCAGAGGCCCAAAATGCAAGAAGTAACTGCAATCTTTTCAAATTATCCCATCCATTGCTACCCCACTTTCCTCCAAAACGGAGATCCAAAGAAACTTACAATGTCGTTGTGTTTATTTATATCCTCTCCTCCCTCCCTTTTAACTTTTCATAGCTGATAACACTGACCCGTTAGGATCCCCCCCTTTCCCTCAGGTGCACTCGAGGGGGTCACAAGGCATAGATAGGGGCTCTGGGGCGAGTGATGCTCTGTCTTCTTGGTGCTTGGGGGGGGGGGGGCAA